TATGCCACTGAGCCCATGCTGGCTCGAGCGAGCCTAGGGACAGAGTAGAACGGCCAGAAGGTCCGCTCCAGCTCTCTTCAGACAATACGTTCTTTTGGCATTTCATTTCTGGCCACGCTGCCTTATGCAGTCCTCTCCCGCCATCCTGTTACTCATGCTCCCTGTCTGGCAAAGCTGAGGGGATGGGGAAGGCAGGTAACATCCCCGTGCTCTCTTGGTCGTGAAGGCGCAAGAGGCGACCTGCGAGAGTAAAGCCACTTGCCCCAGGTTTGTCAGCATGCTGTGTGTCATGGGAACTGTGAAGCTTGTCTGCATCTGACCCCACCTCTTGATCTAACTATTTTTAGTATTCTACCTGGAAAGTATTTGGAAGAGATTGCTGTACAGATGCGTGCTCATAATATCAACGCTGTATTGATTATTGGTGGATTTGAGGTACATCATTGTTTCTCTGTTAACCTGCTAGTTACTTAGCTTTGCAGAAGAAAATAATAACCCTGTCTTGACTTCAAACAGGCCTACAAGGGGGGCTTCGAAGAATTCATGGGAAAACAAAATGAAAAGAAAATGGCATTTTCCCATTAACTTTTTGAAGCCCCCTTGTGTGCTGTTCATGTTGGCTAGTCTTCATGATTTGGATTTTAGATTCCCAGGCCCAGTAAATGTGAATCCTGCCGAAAAATAACAGAGTGGCAAGATCTACCCAGTTCTAATAAAGCAAATTAATTGGGAAGTGAAACCCTGATTCCTTATCTCTGATTCATCTTTCTAGTGAGCTTTGATGTATTTTAAGTCTGTAGAAATAATTTAATCTCTTGAACGAGATATATTGGCTTTTTCAAGAGAAAGACGTTAATTTTTTAAGACTTTTTGAATCATATATTGGATGGTAGTTATTGATTTTTTTTTTTTTTGGTCTATTCAATGACCATCAGCCCCATGATAAGCCTGAGATTTAAAGAAAATGTAAGAAGCTCAAATAATCATTCTTACCAATAAGGGATTTATTTAGTCAGGCTTATCAATGATATAATCCTACATTATCCTTTGTGCTTAAAACTGCGTAGTTTATCTTTGGTCCTAATGCCTTTTTATGTGGATCTTTCCGTGGTTCCGTGGGACCCCTCCCCCTGTATGTGCCTTGGGTGCTGTGGTAGAAGTGGCTCGCCCTGTGGCTCTCCAACCATTTTAATTCCATCGATGTCCCTTTGTCCCCCTCCCTTCCTTCCTTCCTTCCTCGCCCCCACAACTGCACACACTTACCTGACAGGCCTACCTGGGACTGCTGGAAATGTCAGCTGCCCGGGAGCAACACGAGGAGTTTTGTGTTCCTATGATCATGGTTCCAGCTACTGTCTCCAACAATGTCCCCGGGACAGATTTCAGCATTGGTGCCGACACTGCTCTGAACACTATCAC